AACAGTGATTTCAGAGACAGCGCAAGCCACTGCTGGTCACATATACATGATCTGTGAGCCCTTTCGGCCGCAATCCGAGAGATCACGGGTCCAGGCAGCCTGGCAAATGGCTCCTCCTGGCTCCTCCTGGCTCCTCCTGGCTCCCGAAGGCTCTGTCGGGGGTACCACTGGCCCTCGGATGCAGCTCCATGCCCGTTTCCTCCCCATCATCTCTTTACCCTCCCACCTTTCTGGTGCTGTCAGACCAACACAGTCCACTTCCACATCAATTAAATTCCACCAACAAGAGGACAATCACTGTAACTAACACTTAAGGAGCACTTACTATATCCTCACCACTGTGGAACTGCTTCCTTAATCCTCCTAATGACCACGTTATAGCAAAGGATGAGCAGGTGGGTCACTCACCTACCCCAAGTCACACGACTGACCAGACTTGGAACCCAGGCCATCCAACGCAGCCTAAACCTTTAACCACCGGACAGTAGGTGCTTTGTACCGAGCACCTACTGCATGCAGACCCAGGCCAAAGGTCTAACCCACGCCCACATGGGGCCGAATGTCTACTGCTTGCCAGCCTGGGGTTGAGCGCCTACTAGGGCTAATCAGGAGCTGTGTGCCTACTGAGCACTGAGCTGGGGCATGCACAGAAAGCACAGCGTCATCCTAAGAGCTACAAGAGCAAAAATAATAAAAAGTAACAGTAACCACAGCCACGTGCACCAGGGGCCTATGCTCCCGTTTTAAATGTGTTATTTCAGCTCACATTCCCAGTCACTGTCAGAGGTAAGCACTGCCAGGATCCCCATTTTACAGACTAGAACACTGAGGCACAGAGAAAGGGATGTCCTTGCCCAAGGTTACACAGCAAGCAAGGGACACAGTTGGGATGTAACTCAAGAGCCTTTCTAACTCTGGGCTGTTGAAATAAAGAAGACATCACACTGGCTTGGTTGGGGGCAGAGATGGGGAAGAGGAATTCTGCCTGGAGGGACCTTCCAAAATCAAAGGTCCGAAGGTATCGGGCTGCAGGTGCACAAAGAAAGGTGTGGGCAGGAGAGGTGGGTGGGGACAAACTGACTGGACCTTCAAGCAGAGAGCCTGTGCCAAATTCCATGGGCAGAAGGGAGCCAGAGAAGGTTAAGGAGCAGCCGAGTCACTTGGGTAGAGACGGGCTTTAGGAAGAATTACTCCAGCAATGGGACTAGAATGGATAAGACAAGAAAGATCAGGGCTAAGAGATTGTTGCAATAAGGGCCAGGAGGTGAGGAGCAATGGACCTGTGTTTGGTTTGCCCCCCTTCTGGAAACAGCCTGCCTCCCGACACACACACTGCCACTCTTCCCTTAAGAAGCCACCCTCCCCGAGACTTGGTCTCCTGGTTTGGGTGGGGCTGCCCCTCCCCCACTCCAGGGGTGGGCACTGACTCAGGCCTAGCCAGCCAGAGTCCCACTGACTGGCCCAGGATGGGCACATGAACCCAGCCAGGGCAAGGAGTGTGCGTCAGTCTGGAAGCTTCCACTGAAGTCATTGGCCGAGGGTGTCCCTCTCCTCACAGGGACGGCTCTGCCCAAGGCCTCGAAGCCCGGCCGGCTGGTGGCCATCTATATCACCACTCCGGGAGAGCAGGCCCTCCTGTCCCCAAGAAGAGTAATAAAGGAGAAACGCAGAGCTGGGGGATGGAGCAGGGAGGGGGTTCTGAGTCTGGGCAGCCTTACCTGCAGCAAGCACTTCCCCAGGGCTTCCTAAGAATGGAAGCTACAGACTGACGTTTGGCTTAAGCTCATCTGTGTGAGGTTTCTCTCTCTGCACCTGCAAGCTCTCAGGGGACTGAGGTGCGGGCCAAGAAGCCAAGAGCGCAGACGCTGATGGACGGCTAGTGCCGAAGGAGGGGGCCAGGGGCATCCAGGGCCAGGGGAGCCTGAGCAGAGCACAGGGAGCTCCAAACCCTGCCAGCAGAAACACAAAGACGAGCGACCTTTCCAGAAAACAGCTGCAGTGGACAAGGAGAGGCCAGGCCCGGGGACGAGGAGAGATGAGAAGCGGAACAGGCAGGGCACAGGCGTGGGAAAGAAGGGTGCGTCAGAGAGGATGCCGGAAGAGGGGCCGTCAGGGAGGAGAGAAAGCCCAGAAGGAAACTCCCTGCCCACCCCCGACCCCCAGGTGCAGACGGAGGGAGAGACCAGGTGCTGGTTCTGGTTTCCAAGTCCTCCGAGCACCTTGTTAGAGGTTTGGAAACAGGAAGGCTGGGCCAGAAGGGGAGCCTGTCCTCATCGCATGGGCCCCTCGGGCTTGTTGGGACACCTGCTTGGGAATTAGGGCCCCAGAGAGCCCTCTCTGCCTCCAAAAGTGGGCAAGCATGTCTCCTGTAACCTGCAAACAAACAATTTCAAGGGGCCTGACCAGAACCTACCATACTGAAGAAGCCTCACGGCAGGGAAGTGAGACCGTAAACCACTTCCGGGGCTCCTGGCTGGCTCGGTCAGAAGTGCGAGCAACGCTTGATCCCAGGGTCAAGAGTTTGAGCCCCACATGGGGTATAGAGATTACCTCAATACTTAAAACTTAAAAAAAAAAAAAAATCTAAACCCACTTCCTTAGAGAGATGAGGCCAAGACTATGGGCCTTTGAGCCAGTCTGCCGGGGTTCGAGTCCCAGCTCTGCCAAGTCCTAACTGTGATTGCAGGCAAGTCACCTAACTTCTATGGGTCTTGCTGTACTCATCTGTGGAAGGGGGACAATCTCAGTCATGGAGACAAGGCACGTCGAGTGCAGCGACTTGCATGGATAAAGTTACTAGTCTGCGTTCTGAGTCCTCTGTCGTGGGTTATGAGGACACGGCTGGGGGAAGGAACGCGTTTTTCCAAGACAAACCGGAGCAGACACAGCCACCCTAACTCGCCTATATATTTGTCCAACAGATGGCCGGGGAAGACAGGCAGATTTCCAGCCAAAGCAGACGGAGCCTTCAGATCCCACAGCCCATTCATAAGATCAACAAGCAGCAGGGGAAGCATTTTTAGTCCCTGGCAAGGCACTCCCAGCCCTGCCTCCCTGCTGGTTGGGGGAAGGGTCAGGGTAACACCCCCCTCCCCACCCCCTGCAAAGCCCAAGGGAGGAAGGAAGTGTTCTCTGACTGCACCAAGCCTTTCCAGCTTTGCCCAATGGCCCAGAGCATCTGTTCAAAATCTATTCTATTGACAGGATGCTCTTTCATCTCTGGGTCACCTTCTCCTACTTGGTGGGGAGAACAATAGCTTCAGGAGCAAAACCCAGTCTGATGGGGGGGGGTGATGGATGGTCAGCAGGAGGAAAGAAACTGCTAGTTTTCTGTTCTTGAGGTCAGCGAGGAGGGAAGCTGGCCTGGGAGACAAAGCTTCAGATCCGACAAGGCAAAAAATACTGCTGAATCTCCTAGATGTGCACCCAATTGGGGGAAAGCCAAGAGTTTGCACTTAGTCTACTTGCAAAAGCATTCACCACCACCACCGGGGAGGAAGTGTAGAGGTGGTAGAGAGACAGGGCTCCTGAGTCAGGGGGCTGAGTTCAAATCCTGACCCACTGACTCTCCACAAGAGGCCCTAGATGCCTTATTAAACGTGAGTTGTTACAGTACTTTACACATCTGGTATTTTAAACCAACCCTTTACAAAAGCAACGACTGATGATTTAGAGGAAGCTCTCAGGAAGACATTTGAATTGGAAGAACATTAAAAAACAAAACAAAACCTTCGTACCACCCAGCCCAGAGCAGACATTTCATAAATATTCTTTCAATTAGACTAAATGCAAACTATCACTTGGTTAAGGAAACAGTTAAGGAAAGGACCCGTCACGTGATCCATGGCACAATTTCGTACTTGTTCTTTATTTCACAAATGACCATGTAGTTTTGTATAGGCACTGTCCTGAGCATTTTCCACTCACGGATCCTCACAACAGCCTTCCAAGATTACAGGTAAGGAAACCAAGGCCTGAGGGGTTAAATAACTTACCCAAAACCACACAGCTAGGAAGTGGCCACACAGAGATTCAAGCCCAACTTGCTAGCTCAGGGTTCCTGCCTAACCTCCAAGCTGCACTGCCTCTGTCTGCGCCTCTGTTTCAAAGCCAAGGACCAGAGACCCGGAAAGAGCTCATTCTCCACTCTCCGCTCCGAAGGGTCCTATTACCAAGGAGGCTGAGCCTTTTGCCACTACTGAGGGGTCTGTGGTTCCATACACCATGCGTTCCTTTCTTTCAATGGTTTAAACACCCCAGGGAAGGGCAAGAAGTTTACAAATCGTCAATATTTTGCTTGATGATTTCTTACCTACGTACACACCTGTGTACCCACCTCCCAGATGGAAATATGAGACATCTCCAACACCCCAGAGCCTTCTGTGTGCCTCCCACGCCAGTCAGTGGCTATCTACTCCAAAATGTGACCACTATTCTGACTCTTCACACCACAGATTCGCTTTGCCTTTTCTACAGTTTCATGTAAATGGCATCATAGGGAGTGTACTCTGTCATATCTTGCTCTATATTCTACAAATAAAGCACACACATGTCACCAGCACACTGACAATGAGCCTGGGAGAAGGGAGGATATAGCTGACAGTTTCCTTCTCCGGCAATAAGCTCCAGGATTGTGTTTTTATTTTGGCTCACTGACCAATGAAAGGGGATGGTGCGGAGAGCGAAACGCGAGGTTGGAACCACACTGAGTTGACCCTTGAAAAACCAGTGACCCGCATGGGCAAAGGAGCTCTCTCTTCTGGACCGGGCACTGCGGGGAGCAACGAGCCAGGCGGCCACCTCTGTGGCTCTGGATGTCCAGAGGGGAGTACGCTTTATGAGGCTTTAAAAACCTCAAATCTGGTTCCTCCAGCGCCAGAGGCACCCGGGATGGCCAGGCGCCTCCCAGTTTGGCCTCTGCAGCTCCTCCCCCCCCCCCACCCCCGCGTTGACAGTTGCCCAAAAGATCAGGAATTCCCCCAGAAGGCGCGCTTCCCTACCTGTGCACTCTTGGATGAAGTCCTGATATTCCGCTCCCTGCTCGCCGGGGACGATGGTGGAGCCGTCGTACTTAAAAGTCACCCTTTGGATTGGGAGAAGAAAAACACACACACACATGAGCGACGGTAGTAGCTGCACGGCGCCGAGCTTCCAGCAGGGCAACGTAAAAGATGCTCTGGCTAGGGGGAAGCCAGCGCTGGCCTTCCACGCTGTCCTGAGTTAAGGCTGCGGGAGACAGCTCGGGATGACCCTTAATCCGTCCCGTCTGGAAGACGGCTCAGTGCACCAGGCCCCTCGCGAGCTCGGGGAGCGGGGTTTGGAGAGCAATGGAAAGTTCCTCACCAGATGACTGCCGAGCCGTCGTCGCGCACCAGGTTGTACGCCGTCCGGCAAGCCTCCTTGTCGATCTTGGTGGCCATGGCCGCAGGGCCGCAGCGGGAACACTCTGCCCCGAGCGACCAAGCGCCCCCCGGGCCGGCCGCAGGGATCGGAGCGCGGCGGGGACGCGCGGAGGACGGGCGGCAGCGGCGGCGGCGACAGCGACGCGGGGCGCGAGCGGCGAGCGGCGACCGGCGAGCGCGGCGGAGGCTCCGAGTGCGCACCGAGCGCGCGCCGGGACCCAGGCGGCTCCGCCACGCCCCCCTCTGGCCATTGGCTGCCTGGCCGCGGGGGCGGGGCGTCTTGACTGGCCTGCGACCAATCCCAGTCCGGGCGGGTTGCGCAACTCCGTGGCGGGGGCTGGAGGAGGGGCTTTGTGCTCCTCCCAACCCCCTTCCCGGTCTCCCACTCCCCCCTCTTACTCCCCGCATTTCCTCCTCCCCAACCCCTCTTTCTCCTTTCCCTCACCCTTCTCTACTCCCTCTCCCTCCTCCCCCTCCCCTTACTTGTGTCTCCCCCTCTTTATTCCTTCCGTAGACATCTCCTCCCCTCCCCCTCCTTGCTCCTCCCACTTCCCTAACCCCTCTGCCTCCTCTTCTTTTACCTCCTCTCCCTTCCTTTCTTCCCCTTCTCTCTTCGTCTTTTCCTCTCCCCATTATCCCCAACACCAACCCCTTCTCCTTCCTCCCTGTTCCCTCCTCCTCAAGTTCTGTTCCTCCCCTCCTCCCTTCCCCGCTCCTTCCTTCCCCGCTCCTTCCTTCCCCGCTCCTTCCTTCCCCCCTCCTTCCTTCCCCCCTCCTTTCTTCCCTTCCTCTTCCTTCCCACTCCCTGCCTCCCCCTCCTCTTATTCCTCCTCCTCCCTCCCCCCACCACCCAGGCTGCAGGGCTGCGGAGCTCCATGCCTCCAAAGGGAGCCTCCAAGTGGGTGACTTAATGCAGCAAGCCAAAGGAGTCTGCTCCCACCCCAGTGTTGGGCTCTTTGGTTCCTAGGTGGGGAGGAATTGGAAAGAATTAAGCATTTCAAATAGGAGGGGATAGAAAGTGGATTGCTTCCAAAATGCTGGTGGGATCACTGTTTACTTTGTATTCTGGTTATTTGCATTCACGTCTAATCTCCCCCTTTGGGTTCCTGAGTGCAAGAGCTGACTCATTCTGTCTTCCTCACTCCCTCACTGACTCACTCATTCATTCCTCATCCTGCCATTCCACAAAGACCAGTTACAGTGTCGAGGCAGGTAAAAGGGTCGGACCCTGGAAACCAGGCTTTTGAATTACATCCAGTGCTGCCATTTTCTAACTGTGGGCCCTTGGGCAAGCCTCAAACACTCTGAGACTACCTTCCTCAAATGGGATAATAATAGTACGAACATTATGGGTTTGTCTGTGTTTTAATGGAAACATACATAAAAACAAATATATTAGATATTCAATAAAAGGTCATTGTTGTTGGTTATTAAGTAATTAAGATAAATCCTAAATAGAAATCCAAAAAGTAAGGGATGATGTCCAGTTAATAAAATTCTCAGTGGCAAACAAGATGAATCAATCAGTGTGTGGATAGGACAACATTTTGAGAAAAATAGGAGCTGGTGTTGCTGTAAATAAAAAGACAAAAACAAATTCCAGTTTGAAGTAGCCCAAAGCAGTTCCTATCTTACTCCTTGATAAAGGTAATGATACAAGTGGCCTTCGGAAAGAAAAACAAGGATGGATTCCTACCTCACACCATTGATCAGGATAAATCTAAAAGCATCAAAGATTTAAATGTGAGTAAAGGAAACCACAGAAGTTGCAGAAGAAAAGCATGGGGAAGCTGTATTCACAAGTCTGGAGTGGGAAAGGTACTTCAGCCAAGTCCAGAAGCTAGAACAAAAGATGGATACACTCAAATATATAAAAAGTCTTCTTCAAGGAAAAAAAAAAACCATAGTGTCTCATGCAACGTGTAAAAACAAAAGACTAAGCAGGGCATAAGTATTTGCAACCCACATGACAAAGAATTCCTCTTGTCTATATATAAAGAAGCCAATCTAAACAAAAATAAAAACAGAACGGGCAAAGGCCACCCCCAGACAGACCTAATGGCTCTTAAATATATGCTCACTCTCAGCCCAAATTAAGGCGGGACTGAGATACCTTCAAAATAAATTAGCAGGGGGGAGCCTGGGGGGCTCAGTTGATTGATCAGCTGCCTTCGGCTTGGGTCATGATCCTGGGGTCCTGGGATGGAGCCCCACTTCGGGGGGGGGTCCCTGCTCGGCGGGGAGTCTGTTTCTCCCTCTCCTTCTGCCTGCTGCCCTGCTTGCTCGTGCTCCCTCTCTCTCTCTGTCAAATAAATAAATAAATAAATAAATAAATAAATAAATAAATAAATAAATAAATAAAATCTTAATAAATAAATGAGCAGGTCATCAAAGATCAAAGTTCGACAAGCCTGCTTTGCGGTGAGGCTAGGAAGACCCAGGCCCTTTCATGCAGGTGGGAGTACATGTGGACATAACCCCCAACAGAGGCCCCTTGGCCGTATCTAGCAAATTTGCGAGTCTCTGTGCTCTTGACCCATCAAGCTCCCCTAGAGGTCAGGGTGCCCAGGGCTGGCTGCACCCTGGGGTTTCCGTGATGCCCTGGGTCCCACAGTCAGAGATTCTGATGTAACTGATCTAAGGTTCTGGATATTTAAAGGCCCCTTCCGTGATTCTCACGCACGCAGGGGAGGCAGCCACTGCTATACTCAAGCTCACATGTGTGTAACTCTTTTCAAGGTTATTCACTGAGCTTTATTTCCAGTAGCAGGAAGTTAGGAGCAACCTGAGGGCCCATCAGTAGGGGGCCTGGACAAATAGAAATGACGTAGGTCTGCCAGGGAGAACCAAGGCAGCTGTGAAAGAGAGATGGGGGAAGGGGGGGGAGGCTGCGATTTCCTCTGTGGACTGATGTGGAACATTCTACAGATACATCATGAGCACGCAAAGCAAGGTACAGACCAATATGTTCAGCATACCTTTTGGTGTTGCTACATTTTGGTTAAAGTTGGGGGTGTAGATAGATATTTCTATTTGTTTATACGTGCATAGAAACCTTTGGAAGAGCACACAAGAGAAGAGTAACCGTCGTACCCGTGGTAGAGGTGAGGTTGGAAATCAGGCAGAAGGGGAAGGGGATAGAAGGGAGATTTCACCAAATGCCATCCTATTTATTCCATTCTATTCCTGAACCATGTGAATGCATTATCTATTCAGAATATATTAAGTAAAGCCCCCCCCCCAGTCCCTCGCAAAGGTGGCCCCCATCCTGAATATGACTCCACAGCTCAGCATCACTGGAGAGAGCACCTTGCCTGGATTTCGCCTTTAACGTTGTTTTCCTTCTATTCGTTGCTGCTGTCGCCCCCTACTGGACGGAAAATGTAGAGGGTCGGTTTTCAAGGGAAAGTGATTCTGACCGCCGAGGTCAACTTGCCCAGCCAAGGCAGGAAAAGAAACTTCACACCGGAACTAAATGCCTGTCAATATTGGTTTAAATTGAAATCCACACACTATGAAAAGCAATCTAATTCATGTTTCTTTAGAAATCAAATAAAAATTTTTGACACTTTGTGTAATGTACTGTCAAGAATTGAGGGAGTGTTATAAATGCATTCATTCATTCAGTCAGTCAGTCAGTCATTCCTGGCACTGGGCCTATTATGTGTCCAAGGGGGATCACAAACTCACTTACCTGCAGGGGGCAGGCACGTAATGTAAATGATCTAAGATGCACTCCGTAAGGAAAATTTTTCTGGAGAAGGTGATCCTCTCTATTCCGCCCTCCTCTGGCTGTCATTTTCATCTTCAGAACTGACATCAAAAGGGAACCACTGGTCTTCAGCTCTGCCCTCGTTGCCATCAAGGAATCTTAGCTTGGTGGTGCCAAGCCCTCCAGTGGTCTAAGAAAAGCAAACCAGGGGCGTCTGGGTGGCGCAGTCAGTTGGGCGTCTGACTTTTGGTTTCAGCTCAGGTCGTGATCTCAGGGTTGTGGGATCGAGCCCCGAGTCAGGCTCCAAGGTCAGCGTGGAGTCCGCTTAAGACACTTTCTCTCCCTCTCCCTCTGCCGCTCCCCACCTGCTCGTTTTCCCTCTCTCTCAAATAAATAAATAAATCTTAAAAAAGAAAAGAAAAGAAAAACATCTGGACCTCTTTATGAAAACTCTTGATTCTTAAACTTGGGCAATAGAGATGTTACATACAAGAGCTCCCTATGTGCAAATTTGAGCTAGACAAACGCTCCCATGGCCCTCATGGGGCTTACAGTCTAGTAGGAGAACAAGCAGTCCCTTCAGTGTGAACACTATTGCTTATTAACAACGGAAAATTCTATTCAAATAGGCTCCCACAGTGGAGGGCAACTAATAGCTCAGAGACTGAAAAGCCCAGAGCTAAGGGGGCTTCAGGCATGTCATGATCAGGATTTCCCCTCTGTCTTTCTCAGAGCTTCTGATGCTCAAGTTTTCTTCCTTGTGCATCAGTTTCCGCTTCATGCAAACTCTGCCCCTCTGCCTGGCACAGCCCGCCCCAAGCACTGCAGAGCTGACCTCTCATCCAGACCTCCGGTGTTAGCCTCGGAGAGGCTTTCCCCAGCACCCCAATGTAAAGAGCCCCCTCTGTAATGTCCACTGGTCACTCTCTATCACATAACCTCCTTTTGGTTTCCATGGCAGTAATCACTGCCTGAAATCATCTTTTTCATTTATCTCTTTACTTGCATATTGTGCACCTGCTCTCAGAAGAATATCAAGTCTGTGATGGCAGGGACAGTGTCTGCCTGGCTTACCATTGTAGGCCCATGTCCAAACACAACACCAATCCCAGACAGATGCAGAGTTTACTGCCATTGAGTGGATGGATGGAGGATGAAGGAGAGGGAAAGGCCAAGGAAGGGGATACTTGCAGAAGGATAAACATACAGATCAAGGGAACACCATTGAGAGTCCAGAAATAAACTCTTACATTTATGATCAATTGCTTTTCTTTTTCTTTTTTTAAGACTTATTTATTTATTTGAGAGAGGGGAGAGGGGCAGAGGGAGAGAGAGAATCCTCAAGCAGACTCCCCGCTGAGCACAGATGCGGGGCTCAATCCCAGGACCCCGAGATCATGAGCCGAAATCAAGAGTCTGCCGCTTTATCATTTGAGCCACCTGGGCACCCCTGGTCGATTGATTTTCAACAACGGTGCCAACATCAT